AAATTTCTCGACGAGAATTCTGCTATCGCAACTTGCACCAATTTTCTTACTGTTATACTGCCGAAATTTTCTTGATTAAATTAGATATCCTTGCTGTCATATAAACTGTGATTTTGCTATCAATTTTCTCCTCAATTCTCTCAAGTTTTTGGTGAAAATTACGTCGAGAAACCGTTGTTTCTTCGACGACAATTCTACTCTTACAAGACAGCACATACTTGCTGCAACTTCCACGGATTTCTGTCAAACCTTTGCTACCATCTACCACAGATCCAAAACTTTCATCCACAGCCCTAAAACTCTACCAAACTACACCCTCAAACTGCACCCAAAACAGCCACAAAACAAGCCTAAACCGCAGCCTACATCCACCAATCTACCAACACTTTCGACCATCACTTCTCTCAACCTATACATGCCTTTAACCCAACAGCAAAAGAGAGATCTTAACATCATTGATTTGGGGCCATATACTATGGCATCTAAGGAGGCAATCAATGCTAAATTCAAAGCCTTGGAGGCGCGAATGGAGGATAAGATTCGGACGCTCTTTACCGAACTCAGATTGGGCCGACCACTAAGCCCGAAGAAATCATATCAAGGAGAGAGCTTTGCCCAATCACACCAAGCCCGAAGAGATGACTTCCAAGGGAGGGTAGGCTCTATGACCGACCCCAACTATCCATGCATGAGAGTGGACTTCCCTAGATGGGAAGAAGGAGACCCGATTGGTTGGATTTCACACGCGGAGCGATATTTTCGGTACCACAAAATCGCAGATGCATCTATGGTGAAAATTGCATCTATACATCTTGAAGGGGATGTTATACAGTGGTTTAAACAGTTTGAACATACTTATGGAGTCCTTTCATGGCAACAATTCAAAGAAGGACTGCTGATCCGCTTCAGACCAACCGATTACGAGAATATTGACGAACAACTAGCAAAGATCCGACAAACCTCCACCATTCAGGAGTACCAAACCAGGTTTGAAAGGTTATCTAATCAAAATCATGATTGGTCTCAAAAACAGCTATTGAGGACCTTCATTGAGGGCTTGAAGCTGGAGATCCGAGGAGAAGTTAAAGCGCGACAACCGTATACGCTTATGGCAGCCATCTCTTTCGCACGACATCAAGAGGAGCAATTGAACCATGAAGCTCGGAGGACTAGGGTCGTTCCTCAACCAGTAATATTGAAGCCCTCAGCCCCCCCTACTATTGACCAAGTCCCTACACCAAAGAGGTTAACAAGAGAAGAGCTTCGGGAGCGATATACGATGGGGTTATGTTGGCATTGTGACGAGCCGTGGAGCCGTGAGCATCGCTGTAGTAAAGGGAGACTTCTTATGATTGAACCAATAGAAGAAGAGGTCATTGAACATTCAGAAGACAGCCTTGAACATGAAGAAGAAGATACAGAAGAAGAGCCACAACCGACTGAAGTTACGGTGCATGCACTAGCCGGCTACTCAAACCCGGAAACGATGAAAGTTGGAGGCCTTCTCAAACAACAACCGATCACTGTTCTCATTGACACGAGCAGTTCTAATAACTTTATAAATAGTAAGGTTACTATCCAGATGGCCTTACCTATTGAGAATTGCAGCAGGTATGACGTTAAGGTCGTCGACGGACGGATTTTGAATTGTGATCGTAGGCGCCCACAGGAGAAACTATTGCTGCAGGACCAAGAGATAATTACATATTTCTTCCTTCTCCCTCCTGATGATCATAACGCTATGTTCATAATTAAATGGTTGATGACATTAGGTGATATTTCTTGGAATTTTATGCAACTAATTATGAAATTTTACAGTAAGGAGAAACAGGTGATACTGAACGGGAAACGTGGGGGCGACATAACGACGATTTGCACACAACAAATGGAGAAGGTTTTGCATAAAGCATGCAGCAGATTTTTTATACAACTTGAGCAGCAAACTAAGGGAGAGCCAATACAATTTGAAGATCCAAACCTACTTCCTTTGCTTGCTGAATTTTCAGATATATTTGACGAACCGTACAACCTACCTCTTACCCGTCGGCATGATTATTATATAATGACTCTTTCAGGCAAACCTCCAGCAAATACTTGGCCATATCAATATCTCCCGAAGGATGAAATAGAAAGGATTGTAAAAGAAATGCTCAAAACATGAGTTATTCGGCCAAGTTGCAACCTCTATTCTTCACCGATGCTCCTCATACGAAAGAAGGATAGAATATGGCGATTATGTGTTGATTACCGAGCTCTTAATGGAATAACCATCAAGAATAAATACCCTATTCCAATAGCAGATGAATTACTAGATGAAAGGGAGCACAAATCTTTACAAAGCTGGACCTTCGATCCGGGTATCATCAAATACGAGTATGCGAAGAAGACATACCGAAAACCACATTTTGAACACACAACAACCACTATGAATTTTTGCTTTCTTCAAAAGAAGGTGGAATATCTTGGGCATATCATATCAGAAGAAGGTGTGGCAGTAGACCCCTTCAAAATTGGAGCAATGCAAAACTGGCTGACCCCGAGGAACATAAAATTGCTACATGACTTTCTGGGTTTAACAGGCTACTACTGCAAGTTCGTGAAAAACTATGGAGAGATTAGTGCACCAGTTACTTCCTTACTGAAAGAATATGTCTTCCAATGGTCGGACAGAGCCTTCGCTGCCTTCGACAAACTTAAGACAGCCATGACGACGACGCCGGTGCTAACACTACCAGATTTCAACCGACCCTTCATTATTGAGGCCGACGCATCTGGAGTCGGAATTGGAGCCATTCTCATGCAAGATGGTCAACCACTCACATACACTAGCAAGGCATTATCTCCCTCCCATCAAAATAAGTCAACATATGATAAGGAGATGCTTGCCATTGTGCGCGCAGTAACGAGGTGGAGACCCTACTTGATTGATCGACGATTTCAAATTAAAACTGACCATAAAAGCCTCGAGTACTTTTTGGAGCGAAAGATATCCCCTGAGCAGCAAAAATGGGTAACAAAACTTCTTAGATTTGATTTTGAAATAACTTACAAAAAGGGGAAAGAGAATGTTCTTGCAGATGCGCTTTCGCAGCTACCCGAGCAAGCTAAAGTTTCGGCCATTTCACTTCCGACCAGCAACTTTCTTAAGGATATTAAGATGGAATGGCAGGAAGATTCAGAGACTAGTAAGTTTATAAAAAAATTGGAGGAAGCACCAAGCTCCGTGGCTCATTACAATTGGGACTCAAAAGAATTACACTATAAGGGACGCATTGTGCTTATGATAAATTCTACTTGCATCTTCACGAGTAGATTTTGGACCAAGTTATTCTATATGCAGGGTACTAAATTGAAAAGGAGTATGGCATATCACCCACAAATCGATGACGAGACAGTTGTAAATAGGTGCTTGGAGACAGCCCAAAGCCACCCACCAAATATGACTACCCAAAGAGAACTCCAGACCCAGCGAAGTGCCATTATTGATCGACGGATCGTGACTCGACGACGACGACCCACTAATGAAGTTCTAATACAGTGGGCGAACCTACCAATAGAAGATGCCACTTGGGAGAACTATGACGACTTGAAGATCAAATTCCCAGAATTCATGAATCATCAGCCTCGAGGACAAGGCTGATTTGAAGAGGGCGGGTCTGTTAGGACTCTAGCTTGGAGAGTCCTAATTGAGAGGGACATTCATGTAAAACTGTTAGGACTCTAGCTAAGAGAGTCCTAATTGAGAGGGGCATCCATTTAAAAATGTTAGGACTCTAGCTAGGAGAGTCCTAATTGAGAGGGGCATTCATGTAGGAGGTGTTTTCTTAGAGAAGAATTAGGAGTTGTAAGGGAATAGGAGTCTTGACTAGGAGTCCTATTAGGAGTTGGTTAGAAGTAAGAGTCTTAAGTAGGAGTCCTATTAGGAGTTAGGGTTTAGAAGCCCTATAAATAGCCATGTATTCCTTCTCTTTTGATAGGCAATAAATGAATCTTTTCTGCAGCCTTTGAGCAGCAACTTGGAGGGAGGAACCCCTATAGAGTTCCAAGGAGGCCGATCCCCTAAAGAGATCAACCCCAAGTTTAGAATCTGCAAGGGTTCTAACAATTTGACACTAATGGATCCCTTGAAATGGATATAAATAAGCTACCCTTTATACCCATCCTTGTCGGTGACATTTTATACTTCACTCTGTATCCATTCTAGATTGACGGCACATGGAATTGTGGTTCCTGGTCATGCCATTAATTTTAATGCAACTTGGGAGAAGTTTCATCAATTTACCGGTGATGGAAAAACTTTGCATCCAGTTACAGGATCAAGAAATGCAGTAAGATTCACCATATCCTCCTTGTTCAAGTGTATCCCTATCTCCTCTTCAACCTATCAGTGATTTATCATGCATCATTGACAAAATAAAAGAAACATAAGACAGACATTGGAGTGCCTGTACATTAAATAATTATCTTGAACTTAAAACTTAAGAGCTTAAAAGACGGATAACTGCACATACAATACATGTAAAGTCTGGAAGCATCATATTGACTCCTAAAGGTGTAAATACAATATATACCATTGTAAAGATTTTGTCATGCATGCCCAGGCTATCTGCATCATCAACTATCCTTATATCAGTTATGACTAGTGTTCAATAAGCAAAGGATTCATGTGTCAAATATGAAAATGCTGGAAATACCATCATCCTATGATTTGTCTTAAAGGATATATATGATTTGTCTTTATTGCAAATTAGAATGAGGAGAAATCCTGCAGCCCAAAATGGAACATGATGGCCAATACTGTTTTGTATGTCAAAAAGAGAAGTTTTGGTCCAATTATTGATCTCCATATTGATCCAGTTCATGTTATAAGTAGCTGATTCAGAAGACAAGTACAAGTTGAATCTCTGACAAAACTAAGAGATCTATGTTCATTTTTCCATTAACAGAAGAGATCTTTCATGTAAAAGCCTATGTTTCAATAAATCTTTAAATCTTAAAAAAATGACGAAATAGATAATTTCTATGTTTGTTTATATATAGCATTTAATATATCATATTCAGTTTTGTTTGAATGTATTTTTTAACCCCAAATGAAACTATATCAGGAGTGTCCATCATTTAATCAACCCAAATTGATTGATATAAAAATCTAAACCAGCACCAAATCAAATGCAATGGTTCCATTTAATTACTAAGTTTGGCTATGTGACATGCTAATAGTCCCAAGTCAAAAGTGGGGGATGAGTTATAATGGTACATAGGGCTAGACAAATCTAATATCATTAACTTTGTTTTAAGCATTGATTAGCAATATAGTTTGGAAGCCTCCAAGTTATTGAGTTAATAGTCCACCGGAATCAATCATGACAAATAGTATCTTAGCAAACTAAGCATCTAAGGTGAATGGACTAGAGATATATCAGATGTGGAGTGATCATTGGACTGGACTATAAGTCATGTCACCTACTATGGAAACTGCTCGAGTTATATCAGATGTGGAGTGATCATTGGACTGGACTATAGGTCATGTCGCCTACTATGGAAACTGCTCCAGTTATATCAGACGTGGAGCCACCATTGGACTTGACTATAAGTCATGTCACCTACTACGGAAATTGCTCAGGTCATACCAGATGTGGAGCCATAATTGGACTGGACTGGACAATAAATCATGTCACATGTTATGGGATGATTCTGAACTATGTTGGGCATTGGGTTTTAACAAGAACACCGAGCCTTTAATTGGAGGAACTTATGTCACCCCAACCCGTTGGACTATTGATCCAATAGCTTTGAAACCACCTAGCCAAGAATGCTTATGCATTTTAGTAGGCCGCTTGTGAGGCTTATAGCCCAATCCAGAAATGACTCTACATTGTCACATTCAATCCTAAAAGACTACAAAACTCAGCAACTCAAAAATGTTGACTCAAAAATGGTAATAGGCTAATCTAGCCCTATAAATAATTACAATCACTCTCCCACCTTGAGTGTGAGACTAACCAAGATGTCACAGGTTTAATAGGTTCATTTGCAAAGCCCCAACTAAATTATCTAATCCACCAAATTGCATGGGCATCAACATGTTGTTCAAATAGCAGATATGAAATGTATGATCATGATCATCCCAAAGTAAGTTTTGAATAATAGGTTCATTAGCATAGCCCCGACTAAATAATCTAATCCACCAAATTACATGGGGATCAACATGTTATTCAAATAGTAGTCATATATTCCCTTCCCTAGGGCTATGCACTTGACTACCCCTTCAAATCTGATAAGTGCAGCACCTTCCATTCATAAGGTTAATATTCAAACGAAACATGCATCCTTTTATTGAAGTGGGTGAAATGCAAATTAAAATAATGGATATTACCTCACGAACTGCTGTGCCAACAACATCACCGCCTTCATCATCTATCATGCCAGCTGGGAGTTCCAAAATGAGTTTTCCAACAGGAACCCTAGGCTTAAATATTCAGTAAATTTTATCAGATTTTCAAGAAATCAGATAGCATAAAGTCTAGAGTTCTGTAGATACTAAATAGATTTAAATAATTTGTTATAGCTCATAATTGTCTTGAGAATCTATCAGGCTGTGCCCTTAAGGCATCAAAGGTCAAGTTATTCATAAAATCTGTTCTCAGTGTTGGAGCATACCTGTTCTGTAAGAACAACATAAGTTTTTCCTCTCGACTCTAAAAGAATCAACACAGCAACAGCTGGTCCCCTTGCAAACACAATTCCTGGAATCTAAAGATATTATAAAGGACACATAAACAAACCGAACAAGATCTTACATATAAATAAATGCTCGTAACTAGTAACTAAAGATGCAAAGCTCACATAGGTTAAAAGTTTTAATCTTATGCAGATCACAGATAATATGATAGAACATAGTAAACACATGTATTATCAAAAACCATTCCAAGAAATTAACTTCTCAGCAGAATGCTACAATCAGAAAAAATTTCATGAAACAAGTAAATGCAGTTCAACAAAAGATGGTGATATTACCACAATGCATGCATGTGGCCTTCAACTCTACAACATCAGTATTTTATACATGATAACTGTGATACTTGTTTGTTGCTGCATCCTGAGCATTTCTATTTTAGTTTCAGAAACTTGCCTACTCTTCAAGAAGCAATAAGAAAAAAAGTATGAGACAAATAGGCAGGTTCCTTGGGTAAAGTGTGCTCATCTCTCGAAGACTGCAAGTATTTTGTGTTTAAGTATGCTAAATAAGCTTTGTTTACAGAATATCTTCTATGACAGTGTTCCTGATGTTAATAAGAGACATTTTTTCTTCCTATACTTCCACAGTTCTACTTAATGAATGGTTCACTATGGTGGACACATATGTAGAGACATTTTTTCTTCTTATGCTTCCACAGTTCTGCTTAATGAACGAGTTAACTATGGTGGACACATATGAAGTTTCCTATGCATTCCAAAGAGTGCAAATGCAAATTTACAAGTCACAACCAAAAGGCAAAGACAGTAAAAGGAAAAGGCATATTAGTATCTCATTTTATGTACATTTTGCTATGCATTTATGTTAAGATGGGCTCTGTCCAAGATCTCAAAACTGCAATTTTTTTCATCAGTATCCATCTTTTTGTCTTTAAGTGTTTCAATGAAAGTGGTCAAACACACCTTCAACAAAAAGAAAAATGAAAGGACAACCCAAAGGAATCTAGTTGGCTTTCAAGCTGAAAAACAGCATTCTCAGTCACTAACATAACTCAACAACGACATACAAAATGCAAGTTTTGTTAATTAAATATAAGGCAGATTTGCAGAAGCATAAAATATAAAATGCATCACATACTAGATTGAAAGTTATGATCCACCTTCTAAAGGATAAGCACATTATTTTTAGTTTTGTCAAGAAGCAATTTAACATAAAGCAAATCAAAACATACGCACATCAAAAGTGCAGCCACGTGGTCACAAGCATATGCACTTGCATACAACAAATAGAAGAAAACAAGACACTGAGGAAGGATGAGATCTTTTTTCAAAGCATCTGTCTCTAATAAGTGATATCTAGCTTGATTTATTTGGATTTCCTCGTCACCAAAAGAAAAAAGTCCTAAACTTTAAAGATCCAACACTTTATTTCCAAACATAGCACACACATACGACAAACACATCACTTTTCCGAAAATGGTGGACATTAAAGTTAATTATCCGAAAATTGATAATTAGGTTACCTTTGCTTGTGTTTCTTTATCAAAAACATCTGCTTTGAACTTTAAGAATCCAACACCTCTACCAAACATATCCACTCCCTGCAAACAACATATCAATCATTCAGAAAACTACAAGAATTCCAAAGGCTTGAAAACCAGATCACCAACAAGATAGGAGAATAAAATGTAATTGTGCAACTGCAACTGGTTTCTAAGATTTAATCATAGATGAGCAGAAGATCAAGCCACCTGAATGTACACTTGTCTTAAAGACACATGCCCTCCCGCTAAAAGGCCAGTGTCACTCTGCATATTCTTCAACCACTGCTTAAAAAGGGAAGAACTGATGGCATTTCTGCGATTAAAGATGCAGATGTAAAATAATAACTAAAATTTAATAGGAGATAAGCATGCATGTCATAGAAATGGCATCAAAACTTTAACCTGAGGTCAGAATCGGAGACGCCGGGGGCGGCTACGACCTCGACGGAGTCGCCGCCCGGAAGGGTGATGCGCGTGGGCGAGGAAGGGGCTCCGGAGCCACCAGACGCCATTCTTCCCACGATTAATTGGGCGCGAACGCGGCGTCGACGGCCGCCGCTGCAGATTGCGGTGCTCAGCAACGGGGGTAAAAGGTGGAGAGAGGGGTCGGGGATCACGCTTCGGTGGAAGGCAGAGGGAAGGAGGAGGAGTCGGTGCGCGCGAGCTGCCATTCGACGCGGTCCGTTTTGGCTGAACCCCTAATCGCTCGAAATTGGAATTTTGTTTTGAGGGAATTATTAGATTAAAATCGATGATCTAAGAAATTCTGGTCTAATCTTGCTTTATTTTAGGTTTATTTGAGGTCACATCTTTAAGCCGGCCGGTCGAGGACAGAATCGACAAAACCAACCGGGCCGGCCCGTGGTTCATCTGCCGCCCCATCTCCCTCTTTGCTTGCTTTATCGATCGAACGTTGCCCACGGCGGAAATCGAACCAATGTTAATACTTGCAAATCTGGAGATCGACTGCCACAGCAATAGCTACTGTTTCATTTTCATTCAAACGAAAAAGCGTAAGTCATTGCATGAATGGATATAGGTTTAAATAATATAAGTTTAATCCCTCGATTAGAAATACAAAAAATAATTGGACACTTAAAAATTGCAGCTTCACTTCCTCCTGTTGTTAAATCTGTTAGCTCCACCGTAACCTCTTCCCCGACCACCTCCATTAGAGAAACCACCAGTTCTTCGGTACGAACCGTTGCCGCCGCCGCCTCTACCGCCGGAGAACCTGCCACCGCCGCCGCCGAACCTTCCTCGACCTGAGTTGCCACCTCTCGACTGGTCTCGGTCTTGCAGGGGAGGCAATTTTTCCAGGACCTCGATGTTCACGGAGTGAGCATTTTCTTGGCCTGCAAAGCGAAAGAAAAAATCTCAGTGGATACAAGTCCAGTGTGATATGTTTCGATACTCATTGTTGTCTTTTAAGAACTTCGTGAACAATTAGCGATCAGACCTGAAAGGTGTATACAGCTTACCTTCAAGGAATGCATCCACATCATCAGCAGGCACATCGAAAACTGCACCTGTGCCATCAGCAGTAAGAGAGAGGCCTTTAACACCTTCAATCTTGTCATCAGGCAAGAATCTTCTAAAGGTACTAAAAGCAAACCTGAGAGAAAACAGTGACCAAAAATGAGGATCATGTACTGAATACTAATGTCTCAATTTGCAGAAAACACCATCAATAAAGAGTTTCCAAATAACTTAAACTTGAAGCATATTTGAAAAAGGTTCAGCTCGTACGAAGGTGAATAGATTGGCCTTCCTGTCTGAAGAAGTAATGTTACATAATTCTCCATCGAAGAGAGCAGTGACCTCTTCTTTATATCAGTAAACCCCTGTCATAAAAAATATACATATTACAAAGGAGGATTACGAATCAGTACAAGAATTATATAGCTTCTACAAGCAAGGGCAACTTACAGCAGCCTTAGCAAGGGCTTTTGCTAGTATATCCACTGCTGATAACCCAGAGGAGCTTAAGAGATGTTCCGCTTGTGAACGAAAAACTGGAATAACACTGCATTTCAACGAATAAACACCTTGAGTTGACAATAAAAGCTAACCTAGCACTGAGGAATTTCCAAATAGGAAAATTTTAACAGCTTGCCTGTCAGAGACATTTGAGATAGCATCAACTGCTTCAGATCCAGCTGATTCAGCAATATCAGTAGGCTGAGGTGCAGAGATGTGCTCAAACTTAACACCCGACTCTCTTTCTATTCTAGAAAGACTAAAGGAGTGTTTGGGTTCATAAAGCAAAATCGCAACCCCGGTATTGCCTGAACGAGACATCTCTTAGCAACTCATTGGCATAAAAAACCAACATTGACCACAAAGTTAAAATGATTACCAGCCCTTCCAGTTCGCCCTGATCTATGGATGTAAGCTTCAACATCGCGTGGGGGCTCACACTGGAAAAGTTAATCAGTAATTATTATTTATGAAGGTTAGATGTGCTCATTTAATTGATGGAAATACTTCCAGGAAATAAAGAATGCACCTGTATAATCAGCTGCACATCATTTATGTCTAAGCCACGTGCTGCCACATTTGTAGCAACCAAAACCAAAAACCTGCCTGACCTGAATCCAGAGAGTATGACCTGCATAATAACAAGTCATATATGAATATTGACAAAGAACACCTGCATGCCATCCGATTCTAAAGAAAGGATATATGATTGTATCTAGAATAACTGAAAAAGTGCAAGCAAGACCAGATGCAGTTTGAAATCTCATTGTACTTACTTCACGTTGTGCTTGCATTACGTCTCCATGCAAAGCCCGGGCTCCAGGTAATAATCCAGCAAGTTCAGATGCAGATTCTTTTGTCTCAGTGAAAACAATGGTTCGACCACCACTACGAAAGTTTGCATACAAAGACCATTTAGGAACAAGTAAAAAAAATGAATAAAGAAAATTAATATATTGATGACCATAAAAATTACAAACTGGCTATAACAACGGATGACATCAGGAATAATTTGTGGCCTTGCTGAACGAGTACAAGGAAGAACAAGATGTCTGACGCTAGCACTAGCCTTCAGTTTCTCATTGCCGACAAGATCAGCTGTTTTCTTATCTTTCTTTAGAAACCTTGTGGAAATCTGGAAGCAATTGAAAAGGTATTATATGCAGGAAAAGGAATTCAAACATATTAATGCACTTAGATCCAAGGTATTAAATAATGTTACTAGTATTGATATTGGAAATTTGGACAGATACATACTGACCAATATAGTATTGTTTGCAGTGCACAAACATATAACTTATTAAAATTTGTTTAGTACATCTATGCACCGATCTACCAACGTGGTATTGTTGGCATACCATAGTATTTGAAACCATGCTTAGAACCTTATGTGAAATTTACTTGAATGGAAAGGGGGTAACACATAAGATAAATTGATTCAAACCTTCTTCACCCAGTCAGGCAAGGTAGCACTGAAGAGAAGCGTTTGCACCTTGCTAACATCCTCAACTTTACCTGCAAGATAAGAATAGCAAAAAGAACACTGAGTTCACATTAACCACATATATGCAGATTACCATGCAAGTAGTTAGTCAATATTATAAGCAGGCATGAGCTGCCAGTCTGGATCCCAAACTGCAGATGTAAATCTCAAGATAAAACCAACAAAACCAACATATTTGGTGCTTTTCAAGGAGAAAATTAAACATATAACACCAAAACATTAAACACACTACATAGAAGTGGCCGTAAGACTAAATTGTCAGACATTCATCTGATCAAGTGCATCAACTGGAAATTAATATTGATCAAGCATTTATCTGAAAACTTACATACGGCAACATGGATTCAACAAGCCTTTCAGTACAGCTAAAAATAAAAAATCCAACAACAACAAGAATCTGCCAACATTTTTATATATGGTACAATTAACAGTTCAATATGGGACACTGGAGTTTGATCGGCCTACAAAGAAGGAAGGCAGATCTAACTCAAAGCATCCAATGCATAGCATCATGGAGAGATCCTTAACAACATGAAAAGGTAGTGCAGAAGCTGGGAAGAGAAGATCCATACCGAGAATGAGTTCCACATCATCAACAAATCCCATGTTCAACATTTCATCTGCTTCATCAAGCACACGGAACTTCAATGTTTTTAGGTCAAGAGTCCCCCTCTCTATGTGATCCTGTAAGAAGAACAAAAAATATTTTCAGTCAAGAAATAAAGTCTAAAAAGTCAACAAAAGCATATGAAGCTAAAGAAAGATAACTCACTTTTATGCGCCCTGGAGTTCCAACAACAATATCAACTCCTCGCTTTAGTGAAATTTCCTGAGCACGGTAAGGAGATCCACCATATAAGCAGCATGAAGATAACCCAACTGCCCCGCCATAGACCTCAAAGTCCGAATGAACCTGAGATTTAATATGATGTCCATCAAGTTCCATCTAAAGAAACATAAGATACTTGTACATTTAACATGTCAACAAACTCAGATCCGAAACTACCTGATTTGCAAGCTCTCGAGTCGGAAGGAGTACCAAAACAGTTGGAGATCTTCCATAACCTGTTTTCCTTGATGCTTTGTGAACCCCATTTGTCAATGACTCCAATATAGGCAACACAAAAGCCAAGGTTTTGCCCTGTAAATATGGCCAGATATATCAGAAAATCATCAGCCAGCCAAGCAATTAATATTATTTACAGCAAACAGTAAGTACAGCACAGATAACAAGGAATAACATCTAATTATATGCCCATGAATCAAAACCATCATCACGCCAAATATATAGATAAAAGCAAGAAAGTAGAAGATATGGAAATACATAAAAGATGTTTTTACTAGATTATATGACAATATCAGCAAAAATGACAACAGAATGCTTGGCTCTAATTGGTGTTGGCCACATAAACCCTTTTTGTTACTTAAATTAACTCTGTTGAGGGAAATGTAATTAGTAAACTTCACAACAGATAAGACATGAGATTTTTGGATCTTGAACCAGATCACCCAAATTGGACCAGGCAACCAATTCAAGAAGCTACAAGTTTAAAGGGATCATTTTAGAACTGGCCATAACCAAGAAAGCACGTTTCTGTCAGATAATTCCATACATTTAAATACATGCATATATAGGACCTAGCCAATCTCAACCCACCAATCCGGATCAGCACCCACCTTCGCACAAACCACGAAAGTCACCACGTTACTAGTAATTAATAGATTGTCCGTGATGATAACATGTTGTGCCATAAAATGTGGGATATTAGAAAAGGGTTCTATAGGAAACCTAAGGGAATACCCTTCATGCCACCAACAGTGGAGCAGACCGAACCATACAATACAAAAAAGCATGTTTTCCGAATAACTAGCCAGAAATTTTCAAAAATACGTTCCGCCTGCTTACCCTAAGAATTCTCAACACGTGCATTACTTATTTGATTAAAAAAACTATTTGGAAGTCAGAGAACTACCACATAATTATGTTCTTTCACAACAGTATTTTGAAGCATGAACTACCAATCTTGGTAAAACATAAAGAAGCAAGAGATTCCGCACCTGACCAGTCCGTGCTCGACCAACTAAATCAAACCCATCGAGTATGAGATCGAAAGTCATGGCCTGGATGGGGAACAGCGCCTTTATCCCCTTCGAATTCAGAGTCTCCCTCAAGACCTTCGAGATCCTAAAATTGGACAAGGCGTTCGGATCGTCGGCCGCGCCGCTATCTGTCTCTCCCTCGTCCTTCATCAGCTTCGGCTTCTTCGCCGGGGCC